TAACTTCAGAAGTTATGCTAAGTAGCCCAAGTGCTTTAAGAACTGGAATCATCAAACACCTTTGCCAACCAGTGAAGTCTATCCTATTTGCTGTTTGGTTTCTCCAAATATTATTTTTAGCAAAAGTCAAAATGCCCGTTGAAACCACAAATATGAGTAGTTTGACCATAATTCATTTTGCATGTTGTGTTAGATTTGTTATCCTGTCGATGAATAAATTTATAATACTTAAATCTTAAAAAATTCAGGCCCTTAATAAATTGCACAATTTAACATTTCAGGAATCGTATAGGCGAAATATCCTCGATTCTAAATCTCCTTCAGACGAGTTATTTCCACGGGAATCTGAATCCGATGATAAAAATGTAAGTTAACTGAACGCTGCTATATTTGCATTGTTGACTTACATTCACTTCAACGCTAAAATCTAAAAAGATCACCTCGAATATCGGACATCAAATTCACATGTTAGCTTATCCAAAACCTTTCATTTGTAATTGTAGTTTGTGATGAAGGGACTAACTAGAAAATGACGATGTTTCTCCCTTGGTTCATCTGTTGCCATACTTATATAAAAACCAGATCCTCCTTACACTTACAAAATATATCGTTTTTCCGTTAAATCCGCTACACACAAAAATTCCCTGGCTGAGGGTGAAAATAATGTCATATCATATTCCGAGCTAATGTCTGACAAGGATCCCTGGAGTTAGGGAAATTTTTTTCGAATATTTTCTGGCTAATGATCCTTATGAGTAGCATGTGCATTGAAAAAAGGTAGGCATAACCGAAATTTCTAAATATTTCTCTGGTAGTTTGGACTAGAGAATATACCTAAATTCACTCTCAATTGCCTTCTATTTGATCCCTCCAAGATTCAAGAAGCCACATCTAAATTATTTCAATAATTTTCTTCTAGCTGGCAGCCTTATAATGCCACATCACTAGGATCCCCTTCCTTGGCGTAGGATTTTCGTGTTATTTGTCTTCGAAAACTGCTTTCTTGTCCAGAATACAGGCTTTCCTGCATCCAGGCCAAATCAGTGACTCCGATAGCATCCGAACAGAGGGTGAGGTCTGGAATTGGGCCCACTGTTGAGTTAGATTTGACAGTGGAATTCTTTAACGCAGCAAGATTCCATGACAATTTTCATTCTTCCACTTATCTGCTCCAACACATCCAGCAACATCAGCCTCGAAAGAATGGATAATCTGGTAAGGCCGTATATGTCATCTCGCCCGCTCGACTCCCCGGCCCCGTGGGTGTGAATGCGGTCTGGCAGTGGCTCCGGCTTTCGGTCTCAGTCTGTCTCGGGCACCCGTACTGGCCCGACTGGTACGCCAGCAAATGCGTTGCTCCCGGCCGGAACTGTGACCTTTGTCGATGCTACGAGGGGACGGTATTCAGTCATAAAGAATGAAGGGACAATGACGGTATAGGCATACATCGCAGACCTGTGAGAAATATGGCCACATTTGTAGCGAGGCACAAAGAAAGTTTGTATTTTAACAGCACAGGCAGTGCAAAAAGAAAAATCGTCGCAGAATTAGATCACATTCTGGCCTTCGCATTGTGCAGACGTCATTGCTTCACATAAGTTTAGAGCTGCAGGGCATACACAAGCCCCTATTTAGAAATCATACGTAAAGCTGTGTCCTTGGCAGAAGACTGTCTGGCCTAAAGTTCTCAGATGGTTGAATGTATACTCAAACTTAAATGCAAACAAAACAACTAAGTCAATGTGTTAATAAGCCACTTCTATTGGTCTTCACATGTTTTCATTACAACCCCTAGAGTTGACGGAATCTCGCAGTTATTCAGACCTGACTAAGGCCACAAAAATGCAAGTTGTGGGGCCTGACCGAGTGAACCAAGTGTCAGATCTCTTGTATACCCTCATCATACGCCTGGCCAGTCGTGCGATATGGCTCAGCTGCTTTGCGGAAGCTGTTCTAACCATATCGGCTTATAATCACTTATTCCGAAATCATCTCTGCAAACAATTCCTGTCAAAATAGTACTCATTTCAGAGCCGATAGGAGGACTCTTCTGCTCTGGTGATGCCTATCATATGACGGAATAAGCAACAGAAAGCGCGGCTACGGGTCAAAATGAGTTATCTCCTAGCCCTACCACCCGTTTTGGACGGACAAGCTGGCTTCCCACCCAAATGATGGCCGTCATGTGACGGACAAAAGCTCAACAAGGATTCTGTTCGGTCAGTACTCGGCATGTCGACAGAGTCGTCGGCCTCCGAAGTGCTCTGATGCTAGTCTGGGGATCGAACATCTCGCGGAATTGTCTCTCTTTGTACATGAGCATCTCGGCGGTCCTAAGCAGACGACGCCTAAAGTTGCAATAAAGTCAAGCCACGCATCAAGGATGGCTGGCCAACATGGAACTCAAATTCGAATGCTACCAAAAGAGTTGAGGTCCTTCAGGAGAGAACGCTAAGGATGGGAGGTATCAGATTAAGCCGTTGCCAAGGCGACGCCTAAACATTTATGACTCGGCGAAGGTCCGATCCTATGCAGATGTAAATGCATTGCATAAGACTTGAAAGCAGTTGGCGCTTGTCATTAACCTTTGAGTAAGGATTGTAGACCTTCTTGAGCACCAATCACAAGGGCCCTATGCATAGTAGGTATCAGTATTAGCAATAAATTGGTCCAGGTTGGCATATAAATCACCCCAGCAATGCCTCAGAGGCTGGTCTACAATAGGTCATATATAGTAGCCTCATGTTTAGCTTCCTTTTTTGTGTGAGCACCTCGTTTTTATTCAGAATCTTAAGACAACCCAATGTCGAGAAAACGTGATATTTATGCACGCATTTAAATTTGTTTCTTTCTAAAAATCAATTTATGCTTCGTTTCGGTGTCCGTAACTGCGTATTTACGTAAGGCATAAGTAGTCGATAAAC